TTTCGTAACCCCCGGACTTCATTTGTCTGTGCAACATATGAATGATCATGCGTTTTTATGTGCGCCATACCTTTTATGCAATTGCGCCCAATTATTTGTTTGACAGGTGCCCTGCATTTTGATGCGCCCTGCATCAAGGGTGCATTATGCAGGCAGCCATGTGCTGATGGTGCCTGTGCCACGTGTTCGGCGCATGGCAATTGCCTCACCGTCCTTACTTTGACCATTACTTTGCCTCATAAACACATCCACTAGTCACCATGCATAGATACCAATCCAAACGGCCTCCTGGACCTGTATTCTATACAGGGAAATACGAGAAGACAACCAGGGGATACGTCCAGAAGATCAAATACTTTACTCCTGATTCCCTGTTGCATGCACCGTCAGCGCCAGCTCAGCATAGCCAGCAAGCCCAATTCGATCACGATGTAGACACAATGGTCATTGATGAGTTTGCTGTCCCTTTTCACCAGAGAACGTCAGGCAAGGTGGGTGGATCTCTCTGTTCTTTCCAACTTCTGCTTATCAGTGATCCCAGAGCCAGAACGATTATCTGAGAGAATGGGTTGCCCGCAGGGACAAGCATCTTGAGGTAACTCTTGTCACAGAGGCCCCACCTCCTGGGATGGTCTGTGTAGATTGCGGCAAAATGGCATCCAAGTTCCGATGCCTCGATTGCGCCTTGCAGCCTGTATATTGTCGCGCCTGTTGCCACCAGACTCATAGGAGGCTTCATACCCATCGGGTCCAATACTGGAATGGCCGCTATTTCCGTACTGCCGGTCTCTGGGAGACAGGCTTGGTGTTGAATTTGGGCCATAATGGATCCCCTTGTCCCAACTTTGCGGAGTTCGAGGAACAAGAAAGTGAGAGGCAGGATGCAAGTTGTGAGGCTGCAGAAGCCACAGGACCAGCGGCGCCCACCAGCCCTGTTGGCCAAACATGGGCGGCGCCCGCACCCATCCCAATTGATCTTGATATTCGAGTTCAAGCAGTGTCTGATGACCTTCTCGGGGAAGATGAGTCCATGGAGGCTGATGCAGATGTCGGCAATGATGGCGAAGACATCGAGACTGAACCATCCGATCAGGATGGAGACAATGGCGCGACCGAAGAAGAAGCTGACAACAACACTCAGGAACACTACAAAAGAACAAAGGGTTTCGGTACAGCTCCTCAACCTGACACAGAGGATTCTCTGGGCAACCCCTTTGTGCTTGTCATTGAAACAAACGGAATTCACCATCTTCCTTTGCATTTATGCACCTGTCCAGGAGCTGCGCCCACCAATGAGCAGCTGTTGACTTCACAGTTATTTCCAACAAGCTTTCAAAATGTTAAAACACTGTTCACTTTCAAGGTACTGGATGATTTTCGGTTGTCCAATCTACCT